GTCCCAGCCTCCCTTACTCTCCTTAAAACTCAGAAAACAAACTAATGAATACGTAATTCAGAAATTTCAGGTGGCACACTGGGGTTGGTACTAGCTTAAACAGCCGCTCAGCCTTTTAGACCTATTCCCAAGAAAAGCCTTTAATTTTCTAAGGATTTTTCCAGAGCTCTCTCCATACGTTTCCCACAACAGCCAGACCAAAGACGAAAACTGTCTTTCCCCGAGAAATATAGAGCATATGAATCACTTTCTTCTGTTCCCAGTTCTGTGGCAGGCAAAAACTGATTGCTCACTCGCCACGTGCTACCTGGGCAAAACACGAATATTAAGTAGGAACAAAGGTTTATGTTAGGTAAGAGTGACTTAGGGCTCTCCTACTTTTTCACAAAATGGAGACCTGGTATTTGTAGCCTCCCACAATGATGTGCCCTGACATTACTTGGATATAGAAAGGTCAGTATTCTCAGGTGCGTCAATGGCAGCCCACCCCGCTCTGATCCAGAAATTTTAGACGACTTGCATCTGAGGATAAGCCTCTGGCATGTTAATAATGAAAAAATAGAGACAATCACTGCCCCAGCTCATCTCAAATTAGCATCAGTGTAGCGTTATTTGGTAGGGAGCTTTGCTGCTAAATTCATTCCCTGTAAAGAGGAGATGCAGAGACAGGGTTAAGCGGAAAACTCCGAGACTGGAATCGCCAATGTAATAAACTGTCGAACTGAGTTTTTTCTCCCGCAACCCTAAGATACTTGTAAGTCCTTCCTCTTAGCCAACCCTTTTCAGCAGGACACCGCAGTTTTCTTAGAATGAGGGGGCTGGGTTTGCTTCAGTTCTTTCTATTCTTCTGCCCGCTGCCCTAGTACATATAAAAAGGGAGCAGCGACTAGGAAAAGAGACACGTGGGTATTTTCCCATCCTGTCTAGTCATTCCCTGAATCATCACAAGTTATCGCACTTTTCCCCTTAGCCAGCAGCGTTCGAGACTTTTTCTCAAATAATTCGGTCTTGTACTTAAAAGGAAGAGTGGTGGGAGAAGAGAGGCGGAGAAGACAAGCAAGGAGAAGGGCGTGGAGTGCCGTTCCCGCCCCGGAGTCGGAGGCGCCGGGAGGCCGGACGCCGCGAGGCTGCTAG